CTCTCTGGTACTTACATATCAACATAATAATAATATCCTCTTAATTTATTTTGAACCTTTTTAATAAACAGTAAAAATACTGTTTATTTCTCCAAACGTACTAGATTCAAATAGTTATATTTCATATCATTTTTTTTTCAGTTACTTGAAAGTATATTACTAAAATCACTCATGATGATCAGACTTTGGAATCATATATCACCGAGTACCTAGCACTAAGAAAACCGCTAGGTTATACTCTGGTAAGGTTTGCCATATAATTAAATATATGTAATTAATTAAGCTACATTTTGTAAATTTTATGTTAATAATTGTATTGTGGTTTCTGATTTTTAGTTGAACATTGACTTTGAGGCGGCCTATGGAGACCAAACAAAAAATTAATTTGTATATTTTCCCGTGGCAAAAATTAAAATCTTAGAGTTGTTAAGAAAGAGAAAATCAAAAGATAACATCACCCAGGAACTAATTTCTGTAGCTGACTGTAAGTATATTTTCTTTACTTATTTAGCCTATAAATTATACATCCCACCACTGGGCATTAACCTTCTTACATGGGTTTTGAGCCAGAAAACAGGCATATATCTCTATAAATGTGTTCTCCGGTATACAGAAGTGTACCTATACTATGTTTATTGCCACTAAAACCAAATAATAATTTTAAAATTCTACACTACACATAAGTTCGTAGAAACACATTGGTGTGAACCCTAGGTCTATTGAAATCCCTATCGAATACGACCCTCTGTTTGATAGGCGAAAGTTACGTGTTCTGCCAAACTACTGAAGCTATTTATCTATATTAAAGTCTCTCATAAAAAATGATTTGGAAAATGGATTATCTATATTTTATTTATTTTTTTCAGCACCTAAAGAAGAAGATAAAAATCTTGCAGCATTTTTGGCAATTCCCCATCTTTTGAACACTACACCTATTAACCGGAAGAGGAAACAAAAACAATCTAGCTGTAGCTGGAAACCATCTAAGGTAGAAACGCGGGATGCTTTCATCAAACGTTTAAGATCTGACGCTGCAATCGGTCAGTCTATTGAACTTCGGCTAAAAATAAGTCTTAAGTAATAAGTTTTTTTTTATGTTATGTAGGAAATATTATTATATCATATTAATAAAATTCTAATAAAGTGTGGTTGTGATACATAAGTAATTTGTGAAGTGGTTAATAAACTTTGAATAAAATATAGTTGTTTGATTGCTATACTATTTGTACCTATTTGCTAAGTTTAAGCCTTTGTACTAAACCGTTATTTATATGAACTACCTTTATTCGTCAATCCAAGTCGGTGTCTATTGCGCATCCACAAAGTACCTACCTAATTTATTGTAATGTTTATTATTTACAATAAATTACTTGTGGATGTACAACATACAGTGACTTGCATTGACGAATACTGGTAGTTCGTATGACAAAGGCTCATGTCTACGACGAATATGAGGTTAGTTGAAGTAATTAGTTTATCACGGTTACTTCAAGCAAGATCGTAGTTGAAACAACTTATGGATTTCATTGATTTTATAATGTCGCATAGACGTATCATACAACATCTTAGTTGAAACAACTTATGAACTTGATTGATTTTATAATGTCGCACAGACGTATCATGCAAGATCTTAGTTCAAACAACCTATGAACTTGATTGATTTTATAATGTCGCACAGACGTATCATGCAACATCTTAGTTGAATCGACAAGTTAATATTGTTGGTGAGACAATGTCTCATTCTTAAACTAACCAACATTTGAGCTAAATTGAATAACTACCCGTAATTATGGCAATTCATTACTTAGTACATGGAACTATGATAATTTAACAAAGGTTTCATAGCTGCAGAAAGCAAGATCTTGGTAGGCTCATATGGAATCAAGATGCGTTATCAAATTAAACAAGATGTTTATTATAGCAAACAAATTTTTTTTTCAGTGCACAACACCAGACCCGAAACAACAATTTGTGGATCACACAAAATGTTGTTCCGTGCGGGAATCGAACCCGCGACACGTTGCACGGCAGTCGGTTGCCCAGCCACCGCAATAACCGTGCAGTCAAAAGTTTGTAAACATAATACAAAATAAATTACACGAGTACCATGGTATTTTTGTTTTGTAACATAATTGGGATGGGCTAATAATATGAAATCATCATCAACAGCCTATAAATGCCCACTGCTGAGCAAAGCCTCTTCTCACACGGAGAAGGTTAGAGCATTAATCACCACGCTTGCTCAATGCGGGTTGGCGATTTCAAACTTATAAGTAGAAATTATAAGTACAGGTTTCCTCACGATGTTTTTCCTTCACCGTTTGTCAGTGGTGTCTAAATAATCTTAGAAAGTACATATAACTCGGAATAAGTCACATTGGTACTTGCCGTTGGTAGGTTTCGAACCCTCATGCATGAGAAGTGGGCGTCTTAAACCTCCGGGCCACCACGACAATATGAAATAACTTAGGACTATTGTTTCATTTATTTTCAAAGCGATAAAACTAAAGAACGAAAGAATGTAAGTATATTATTCTAGTCTCTTCTAAAGTTGTCTTTTGTTTCATTTTAATCCTCAAAAATAATTTGCTTCAGGTAAAGGCCTTCACACTGGCAAGATACTACAAAGCTACCTGAGTACGTGTGGTATTTCGATTTTTCGATAATAAAGACTATATTGGAATGAGGAACTGTTTTTATAGGATTTCCTGTCTGTTACTCACGTCTCCGGCGACAGAAGAAAAAACATTACGTTTTATATCCCCGAAGGGATAGGCAGAGGTGCACATTACGGCACTTATTACCATTGTCCAATGTAACACCCACTTTTCACCATTTATGATATGAGTCTCATGTAATAGGGGGTGATCCTATTGACAATTATATCGGGAACAATTCCAGACACCGTGCTAATACTGAGAATTTTTGAAAAACCCAATAATACTTTGCCCGGCCCGGGAATCGAACCCGAGACCCCGATCGGCCAACGAGGCAGTCATAAATAAATACTTGGACTACTACGTGGACGAAGTCGTGGGCAACAGCTAGTTAATAAATAAATGTGTAGATAATTAGATTACAGGTAGCTTATCATCTAAGCTGTACAAGTATTGATTTCATTTATCAATACACATTATCATTATACAATAGTGGATTTTCCATTAACATCATTTTCAATCATTGAAGTAGTATTTTTGTAACTTTTCTTATGTGAATGTAATGTTGCAGCATTTATTTTTAATTAGCTTTTACTCGCGGCTTTGCTCACTCCTGTTTTATCCTATGGGAGCATTAATTGGGATAAAAATATCCTATCACCTAAGTCAGCCTATATACCAAATTTCATCAATATCCGTTCCATAGTTTCAACGTGATTGACGGACAAACATACAATGAAACATGTTTATTGGTGTGCTTATTTTCATAGAGTATATTCTTCCTGTCCTATCCTACTCATTTAATAAATGCAAACATTTGGTATGTGGCTATCTGTATGTTTGTAAGTCCTTCATACTAAAACTGACTGTATGGGCAACCGGCTGCCGTGCAAAGTGTCGCGGGTTCGATTCCAACACGGAACAACACTTTGTGTGGTCCACAAATAGTTGTTTCGGGTCTGGGTGTCATTGTGTATGTGAACTTGTATGTTTGTTACCCACGACACAGGAGAAAACCCTAATGTGGGGCAACGTTTAAAAAAAAAACTACTACTGAGCAGATCTGAATGTTTAACACAGAAATAGATAATAGTCTAGAATAATACATAGATAAGCTACTCTTTTACCCTAGAGACGCATGTGAAGTCACTAGCAGATGCTTAATACGTTGATATATCATACTGAAAATTAGTTCATTCAAAAGTAGTCTCTAAACATCGGAAATAAGGTTTATAATGAAGTTAGCGGAGAGCGGTCACCGGTGACTGCTTGGGGATTGAGCAGTTATTTCATATTTACATTGATCAATGGCGTAATAACTGAAAAATCTTATTGTTAGCTAACAGAAGCACTTTAAACTGTCAAACACCAAGCGGTCACCGGTGACCGCAACCTATTGTTCTTTAATTGTGTCTATAATGACGGTACTCAACGAGTTAAACAAATAAAAATCAATTTTAAGTACACCACTGTCACTACAAATTCTTTGTAAAATGACAGAGATGATAGATGACAGAGAAAGTGTGGGAGAAACATGATTCGGCACGAATGGTCTGACTCAACTGGAGTAATACCAGGGCCTCAAAGAAATGGGATGTGAAACAACACTTGTGTTGTGTTCCGTCATGTAAGTAAGGACCCTCATCAGGTGATCTGTCTGATTGATTACTGGCGATACAGTTTAAGACATGGCATGATATTTGAGTACAGTAATTGTGTTGCCTTTCAATAATCAGACATAGGGTTCATAGTCGTAGTCAGTACACTTGATTGATTTTATCTTAATAATTTTACATCAATGTCAGTGGAATATTGAGAGCTGATGTCAGTTCCAAGATGTGCAATATTAACATCAAAAAATATTTGACTCAACTTCGAAAGGAGACTGATTTTACTTACTTAATAGCATCATTCAGTGTTCTAAAACTTTTTACAGTTGCAAAAGATTGTAAGGCTAACTTTTTAATTCCGCTGAAATACCTACTCAAACATCACTCAATTATTTTAAGTTGCACTTAAGTAGGTACATTTCTGTCTCTACAAATTCTTTGAAAAATGACAGAGACGGCACGATATTCAAGTTCAACTTAAAATTGTCTTTCAATAATCGGGCGTGTAACACAGTTTTTAAATTGAAGACTTTTCATTGATTACTTTGAAGTTGAAATTAATCAAGTTACACTATTAAAATGGTTGTTTAATTTTTTTACATGCTCGTAAAATTGTACTCTTAATGTTTACACAGCACTTTAAGTTATCAAAGAACTTAGATTGAGCAAGAAATTGCAGAAGTCTATAGTAATAAAACTTATAACAGGTTTAATGTATTAGTTAACTACTTACATCGACTTTTTTCCATTTATCTACTTTTTTTATCACATCGTTAAGCTCCTCGAAGGTCGTCCGGCATACTGAAATAATGATAATACCAATTAAAACCCACAAGTTATTGAAATTAATTTTAAACTATTCGGGAAATACACACCTAAGCACTTCAAGTTTTTAGGGTCTATCCGCGCTGACACCGCGACTAATAAAATTGTGAACGCAAAGAAAGCTACAGCTGAACGCATTTTTAACCACTAATTAATAATTTAACACGAATTTAGTGTTTAAATAACGAGAAAAACTTTATAAATGTCGGAAATTCTCAATACGTGTTGGAAGAAGTTTATCTTTTGCTGTCAAAATCTGTCATCCACGATGTCTAATCTCATTGGTCGAGACTCAACATATATTTTTTTTAAATAAACTTTATCCCTATTGGTTAAAAAATGACAGAGAGAACCCAACTTATAATAATGGTTCATTTATCAATAAGCACAGCTGATAATCAATAGCTCATTACAATTGGTAGGGTTATCGTGGCATTTTATAACAAACCTCTTTCCATTTTTCTGTGTTTTCCGAATTTCAATCATTATCAAATCAATTATAGTCCATATTTATAATTTAGCGAAATAACCACACATATAAATACCATGAGTAAATAAATACTATTATGTTTTTTAATTGACAACATTAAAACAATAAATCATTATGTTTTTGCCTCTGCTTTGTGAGTGGTACGAAACAGGAAAACATCTATGTCAAGTTAATCACTAACCAACATTATGTTAGAAAAAACTACCTTTTTCGTAAATGTAATAACTTCAAAAAACATTTTGTATTTTTCAAACTCTTCCATGTTATTATTATCCAAAAGTACACCATTTTAAAATTATTAATATTGTGCCCTTTCTGTCTCCCTCGATCGCCCGTTCTCCGGTTTTCCTCCCGCCGCCCGCCGCCCGCCGCCCCCCACCTATCAACCGACCCAACCAAACCAAACTAACCAACAGTTCGTATTCGGTCTCTATGCGCGCCGGACGTTTGTTCAACGGCATGTATAATTTTTTTATGCACATCAAATTGTTTAAAAACCTTAAAATACCTTGAATATTGTTGTTGCATCGTCTCGGAGTGACGTTCCAGTGAGTTTAGTGAAGAAATACGCACTTTTCGTGTAAAAATCGAGGTAAGTGACTCGTTGACAGATTGCGTCTTTTACTATTTAGAGCTTATTATCAATTTTTTTGTTGATTTTCATTGCTTTCTTATATTTAGATAGAAATTAGTAGCAAAATAATAGTTTGTTGGACATTGCCATATTGCCTGTTACGACTTGTCCGGCGCACCTGTGCTATTACCATACGCTACTCACTATGTCCGATATAGTATTGCATATTTTATGTAACCTTTCAAAAAAATCATCTTATCATTCGACTGCGTCATGTGCAGTTAGAAAATCCCAATTTCATAATGAGAGAGCGCGCGATCGCACAAGCTGACGACTTGGCAACGCGCTGCCATCCGATAAAACTTGTTAAAAAGTTAATTTATCAAACAAAAAATGTGTTATTATCCGTGGACCGGCGTTTCCCTTTGTTTTCCGTGTGAAATCGTCCCTTTGTCCTTCGGTAGGGCGCGCTGGGCGCGTCGCTGCACAGGAATTTCGACTCTAGAAAAGTGGCATAATACAATGATGGTATACATTGGTAGGTCGCGCAGCTCGTCGCCCGCTCGCGTCGTTTTCACAACGCCTGTGTTCGTGCGTATCTACGTGGACGACGTCAGTGTGCTCGTGCGGTAGTTTGTTTATAGTCACTACCGCACAAATACGACGTCTATTATTGTAGCAGCAAGGCTCAGTATCGTATGTAGGTCGGCGTCCTCGTCGGTGTTTGTCTATCGATCTCTGCGGTGGCCAATGGCACATGTCGGCGCGGTCCTGCGCGGCCGCGCCTCGCTTCGGTCTTTGGTGAAAGCCGGGCGCGCTCGGACGATATATTACAATTCATGTACATCTATACGATGTCTATAAGTACTATCTTATCATTGGAACGCTGTTATAACACTAACACCCCCCACCCTACCTCCCCGCCTACGAATACGAAGGCCTACTAGATCATGAGTTTTTCAAATACGAACCCGCGAAGTTGATGTATAAATTGAAATCGTGAATGTTTTGTCGAGCGGTGTTTGGCGACCTCCGGCGTCACGGTGCGCGGGGGGAGGGCGCCAGAAATAGAAGTGCGGATTGGAAACGTGCGACGTGGCAACGTCGCGCGCTTGTCCGAGCTCAGTGTCGGTTCAAAATGGCGTCTGTGCGTGATCGATACCGCGGAATTTGCGTTGAAAATGACCGTATTTGTGATGTATCTGGTTGTGAGTCGGCCGGATGGCTACCCTGGCAGCACGGGGCGTTCGCCCCGCACCCGGCGCTGGCTCACGAACCTCTCAATGTACGTATCTCAACCATATTGCGCCGACACTCTGCCCCCTACATAAATACCTAGGTATGGCTAGGGTACGCTTACAATCTCGATGATCTAGACATCTACAGCATATCCAATATTCGCTATTGAGATATCTTGAACTTTCAGGGTGCACTGTGCTCGATGCCCGAGCTATCGTATGCATTATACATCGACTGACAACTTCCTATGGTTACGTAACATGTGTATTTTTGTTGAGGAAAGTGTGATGTGGCTTTCTTTGAATGTGCCTATTTAATCTATGAATCTGTTGCCTATAATGAAAAGAGAATAAATCGAGTCTCATCATTCGTAAGTTGCATCTGATAAATGGAAACAAAATGGCGGCGCTGTAAAATTAAGACGCAGTAGCGCGCTGAATGTTGGCAACGTCGCGCTTCACGGCCGGTAATTGTGAGTAGTCAACTCACTTGTTCGATAAGAAGTTTCAAGGCTATACGTTTTGTATCCTCCGATTAACAATGGGATAAATTTAATACAAACGATAAACGAGTTTAATACTTAACGCCAGGGTATTGGTGTTATAATTAAATTTTAGTTATGTCTTGTGTTTGTGTGGGTCACTCACACACAGATGAGCTAATTGAGGTTAATACTTGGCGTGTTTGTTGTATACCTGTTTACGGGTACACATACAAGTAAAGTAATAAACAAACTAGGTTGTTATTGAGTGGACGAGAGCCTTAGATAGAATAATGGTGCGCTCATAATCTGTATACTTAAGTATATGTTTACATCACACGGGCCTCGGGCCGATTGTAAATATTGCATATTTATGATTAATTTATATTTTACGAATGGTTATTTCTGTACTATATTTTATGTTCTGTCGTAAATTCGATTGTTTACTTCCATGGAATTTATAGTTTAGGCCTTAGGAACCTTTGTGCATTCTTGACCCCTGAAGGAATGTGATGATGGTTGTGTATTCGTTTTTGTTGCTATGCGCCTTGGGGAAGGTCTTGTTTTTGGCCAGCTGACGTCTACATCCTGCCAAAACATTCATTCATAAGTCTAAAGTTGCTACAATCTTCGCTTTGTTTATAAATACTCAAATAGAAGGGTTTAGATTCGCATTTCGCCAGGTTATCGACGTTATACCTTTTTGACTTTGACTTTTATTCTGTTCGTTCTCTGAAGTTGTTCTGAAGGTGATCATAGCATTAACTTCTGTCATATTTGGTTTTTTATTAGTTGTCCTGTTGAATTATACAATCTGACCCTGATTTTGATTTCAAATAAGCTGCATTAAGATCCAAATTTGGATAATTTATGCCTTTCTTATTTGGTTTTTATATATCTTGTCACCTGTTGTAGTGTTATTTTAGTGTTAGATTTGTTTAGAATGCATGATTAGTTCTTCCTAAGTATGAGAATAGAATGTTTTTAAGAATAGAAAGAACTTCATAGACCTATTTACCTGCCTAATTACTAGGTTTCGTTGCTAACTAAGTAGTAGAGAGTATCAGAAGGCGCATTTATAAGGTTTCTAGAATAATATCAGTTAAGTAGACATTGTCTTTGTTGAAACATCAAAGTGTATTTTACTTTACATATCTTAACAACTTTAAAAGGAAAAATATAGATCACATGAACTTAGGGAAACACGCTTAAAGATAAATTTGTTTGCCCTATTCCAAGATTAGATAAAAGATATCCGGACTGTATGAAGTAATAGTACCAAAAAGGGGACTTAAACCGGTCTAAATTCAAATCAGTAGTTTCAGAAACGGTTAATTCAGCCCTTTACAGCTGTCCACATTTAATACATGTTCCAAAATGTCAAAAACAGCAGGATGTACTTAATACCCAGATAAAAATACTTGTTTCGGAGAAATATGTAATTAAATATTTGCTAAAAATAATAATTTCTCGTCCTTATTGTGAATGAAGACTATTCTTTAAAATACATAAAAACAACAAACGAGTACACTTAAACCATATGGTTTTTTTTTGCTTCGAAAGGCTCTACCAGATGATTGATATTGTTTCCAAGACTAAACCATTTTTGCCTACCTGAACGTGGGATCTTTTTTTCGCCATTTCCGAAACAGTCAGGTAGACAAGGGATTTTTAAACATTTGTTAGTACAAATGGAAAAGGAGTTAGTACAATGGAGTAACTAGTGTTACTCCCACATGTTTTTTCCAGCTGCTTGTTTCATTGCTCTTGTATTCATTGTAGTTTGGTGCTTTGTAGCCTATAGATATCGTCGATAAATGGACTATCCAACGTAAAAAGTATTATCCAAATCGAACCAATAGTTTCGGAGATTAGCACGGTGAAAAATCTCTTCAATTTTATAATACTTAAATTATAGATCAAAGAAATTCATCTAACTGAAGTCCAGGTGTTTGCAAATAAATACCAATTTATTGCAAATACAAGTTATGCCATAAAAATATCCAATTAACTTGATACTTCTCGATTATTTGCTTGATGGAATGGCATCGTTAATGGCTTGGTTATGGAACCTGTTGCCAGTGCACTTGTGTACTTTAAGCTCAAGAACCTGTAGTCATAATCGTTACGGTTTATTTGTATATTCTAATTAATTTTAGCTATGAAGGCTTACTTCAACTTACCTACAACTTCGTATACTGAAAATTGCCTTCTCATTCGCCATTTTACGTAGGAATTTTGGAAATTCCTAATCTGTGAGCTTGTCTACAGTCTCTAAATAACTTATGACTATGGCAAATTCCAGACACATTTTTTCCAGATTGTTTTGTCTGTTTATCATTCAGTAGCGGAAG